AACAAATGATGTTTGGTACAAGATCTGACTCTTTTTTGTAAGAAATAGACAAATCTAACTTATTAAGAAATGTAGAACTCACCAGTAAAAGAGGGTTCAGCTTTGGCAGATTGCATGATGGCTTCTTCTGCTCTATTTTTCCTTGAGTAAGTTTTCAAATCGGGTCTATCCAAACGCCCAATAGTCTCCCTAAATTCTTTCTCCAGTTTCACTTTCCTCATATGGTAGTGGTAGTGGTTTCAACAGTAGAACTTGGCAAAATCATCTCTTCCTCCTTATAGTCTGAATAGGCTATATCTGGTCTAGTGGGAAAATGAATAAGTCTTCCAACCAACCTCCGATATCTCTCCTAATCAACAGACTCTCCAACTCATGTGTTGTAACTTGTGATTGTTTTCAATAGGCGATTCTGCTAGTTTGCAATCTATAACTTGCCGAGGGTCTATCGGAAACCACCTCTCTACCTTCTCTACCTGCACAAGGTAGGGGTAAAGTACACTACCCTCTCTTGACTCCACTTGTGGGATTTTATTGGGCATGTTGCTGTTGTTGTTGAGAAATAAAGATACCCTTTTTTGGTCTGGCAAGCTCAATTCCTAAGAAGTACTGCAATTTTCCAAGATCCTTCCTGTACAAACAGCTTCTTCAATCGGACACTCCTTGTTGTCATCTCCTGTCATTACTATGTCATCAAGATAAATTATGAGAAGAGTGACTTTATCGCTTTGATGTCTTATGAAGAGAGTACGATCGGCATTGCTTTGTTGGAAACTAAAGGAGGTCATTGCTTTGCAGAACCTGTTAACTCAAGCTCTAGGGGATTGCTTCAATTCGTATAGGACTTTATTCAGTCTGCACACCTTTCCTGGACTCTGTTCAATATCAAATCCAGGAGGAATCTCCATATACACCTCTTCTTCTGAGTCTCCATGAAGAAATGCATTATTCACATCAAACCATTGTAAGTCCCAATCAAGATTAGTTGCAAACGAGAATTCTAATAGTGTTCATTTTAGCAACAGTGAAATATGTTTATTGATAGTTCACTTCNAAGATCAGGATGATAGCATTTGTACTCTTTTTTGTGTTGGAGAATATCCAATAAAGACATATTTAAGAGCTTTAGGATCAAGTTTTCCAGAGTTCCTAGTGTGAACAAAGCAGACACACCCAAATACCTTCAGAGGAACAATATAATCATTCTTACCCTTTAAGTGGCATTCCATTGATGAGATAGGCAGCTGCTAGAATGCCAACCCCCCATAAAGATTTGGTGGATTCATGGTAAACATAAGATATATCTTGCCACTTCTAATAAATTTCTATTTTTTCTTTCGGCAACCCCATTTTGTGCAACTAGTATGGTTTGATGGATTATCTCATAATACTCCAAATAAGCAGCAAATATTTTATCCGTGTATTCTATGGTATTGTCAGATCACAAGATTTTTATCTTAGCCTCAAATTGAGTACTAATCATCTTATAAAATGATTGAAAGCAGGAGAAAACTTCACTTTTGGTCTTTAACAAATATACCCAAGTCATCCTAGTGCAACAATCAATAAAAGTAACAAATTGTCGACTACCAAACAGAGAAACTATTTGAGTAGGACCCCGTACATCAGATAGAATAGTTGAAAAAGGAATTGTACTTTTATTATCACTCAAAGGATAATAATTTCTAGTATGCTCGGCATACTCACAAGCATCACAAGACAAAGATTCAAACTCGATTTTGAAAAATAAACTTAGGATATAACTTCTTTAAAACAAAAAATAATAGGTTCCCCAACCATCTATGCCACCGTATTATTTTTTGTTTGATATCCTTATTTCCTCCAAAAAGGCTTGACCAAGAGTCTCAAGTTCCATCAGTCAAATTTAAGTTATCATACAATCCACCACTGTCAATCCTCTTCCTTGTTTAAAGATCTTGAAAAACACAATGATAGGAAAGAACTCGACACTATAGTTTAGTTTTTGGTGATGGCACTACCAGATAACAGGTTAACAGGTTAACAGGAAACTCAGGTACAATGAAGAATGGATGATAATGGAATATCGGTGTACAGACAATAGAACTTGTTCTAGAGACAGGAGTTAAGTAGCCATTGGCTATTCTGACATAATCCTTTTTGGGACTAGGAGAGTAGTTTTGAAAGCCTTAAGAGGAGCCGACAGGCAATACCTGACTGCACATAATTGGAAGTGACAACATTAGAAGACTCAATTTTGTTCAAGAGACGGCGAAGATGCCGAACTTCATCTAAAGATAAAGTTTCTCCAAAAGCATTTTACTTGGATGTCTCCACATTTTCTACAATATTAGCCTGACTCTTTGACGGAGCTACACGTTTTCCCTCACGACTTCTAGTGGGTCTACCATGTAGTTTTCAGCATGTTTCCTTTGTATGCCTTGGCTTTCCACAATAATCACAGTGCAGGCGATCTTTTATTAGAGGTGGTTGCCCTTGGTTGCTCAAGAGACACAACTAACCCAAACTTCTCAGTTAGTGTTGAATAAAACATGACCACTCGTCGACTCTCTTCCTGTTGAACATAAGAATATGCATCGTCAAGAGAAGGAGAACAAATTTTACAAGAACTTGAACCCTGATCTGATCATACTCTTGATTCAAACCATCCAGAAAATCATTGACCCTTTCCTTTTCAATCAATTGTTGAAAGAGAACTTCATCATTGATACACTTTGCTTGGAGATCCTGATAGTAGGCAATCTACTGTCATAACCCACTTAACTCGAAAATAGCAATCAGTGATAGTCAACTCACCTTGCTTAGTGGCATGAATTTTATTTTGAATCTCAAAGATCTAGGCATCATTTCCCTTGCGAGAGTAAGTGCGCCTAGTTGAATTCTAGATTCTTTCAGTAGTATCAAGCAATAAATATTTCTTAGAGATTTGGGGGTGCATAGTGCTCAAAAGTTATGTCATAACAAGGGAATTATCATAATCTCAGTGACCATAGTTAAGTCAGCCACAACGGCTACTTTCTTTTCACCAGTAATATACCTTAGCAATTTTTCGGATTTAATAAAAAGCAAACTTGACCAAGCAAGATAAATACCAGCCCCATCTAATTTCACAGCACTGATTTGTGAAAGGGAGTTAGTGTACACTGCCTTTATATCCCCCATAGCGTGAAGAATAATACTCCAAATACCAAAAAATTACAGAATCTTAAGACCCAAAGAACCAGTTTTTCAGAGAAGAAAAACTGGAGATTTCTCGTCGGGAAAAGGAACTCATACACCGGAAAATTACCTCGGGTGCTCTGAAAATTGTGAGACTGGGATGGCTAGCCTCGAAATTGACCAACGAACCCTAATCAAGGAAGACTCATGAAAAATTTCGCCGAAGGTCACTTCACGCGTCAGCGCGTGGTAGTGAGTGTCGCCTAAGCTGGGTGTTCTGGTGGCGCGTGATGGCGCATCTGGCAGTGTTTCTTGCAGCGGCTGACTAGGATTTGGTCGCCGTTATCAGCTGGACACTGGTGGTATTATGTTTTTGACAACACTCACAAAAAGGGTGTTTAATTTCGCCCAACTTCAATAGAGGGAGAAAGCTCGACCTCTTTCTGAGATTAAGCTAGCTCAAGAGGTGAGGATTGCCCAAGCCAGAGACCACCCCATCCCCTTTACCACGGATAAAGCTCTTCTCACCCCCTCCCCCCCCATAATGCCAAGGACTGGACATCTGGAGCGCGGGCAATATAACGGCCCAACATCAGGCTGGGATGGGTCCTGCAGTGATATCATGAAGATCTCTAGCAAGAAGAGACTTCTGTGATGATTGCTACATCCCATGAACAAGGAAATTTATACAAAGTTCCTATTACTAATTAAGGAAACTAAATAAATCAGCACAATTAATATACAATCAATACACCTATCAAATCCCTAAAATCAAACTACAAAATAAAATAAAATCTTCCTAAAAGTAAAACCAATCAACAAATAGTTGAGACATGTATTGTTACACTAGATCAGGATTCTTTTGTAAGCTTCATCGATGAAAAGTGTTGGGCCTGCCTAACACTCGCTTAGGATTTGAGGAGGTAAGGTTCCATATTCCCCTCCTTTATGTATTTATTTTTGGATTTTAATATACAAGGTAGGGGCCAATGCCAAATCCCCAGCACATAAGACAAAACAACAAAACATGAGACATTAATAGAAGTAAAGGGGCACATTTTAACATAAATGTGGCACTGGATAAGATATAAAATAACTCTTCCACAAAGCACCTGAATGTCTCGTATTAACAGTAATGTGGCAAGTGATCTGGAATCAGCCTGAATTGCGGAATCTTCCACTGACTCATCAGCCAAAATTAAGATCTACACATAACCAAAAAATAAATAACAGTGGAAACTTAGAAGGGATGACAAAATATTCACAGAAGAGATAAGATAAGAACAGCAATACAAGTTATAAAAAACACAATATGAGCAGGAGCACCAGCAAACCCCACCCAACTTCCCACCCATTCTAGCAGAAGAGAGTAAAGGATCCAATCCTTCTGAGTGTCGTTAACATCAGCACACAATCACTTCATTTTAAACTGCATCTTTATGCATAGTTAGTGAATCTTACTCACCGAGCCAAATGATTCTAAGGGAAGACTTTCTAGATGTCGTCGTATAACAGCATTACCCTCGCGGTTTACCAGTATTATGTTCACCAGCCGGCTAATATCTAGGCCACCATCTGTTAGCTTCTTTTCTCTTTCCTTCTCGCAAACTTCATTGAACATCCACAACTCTGACCCATGCGCTAAGAAGGCATCCAATACCTAGAATGAACAGCTGAGGTTGTTGGAGTTACAGAGCATCATTTTAAAGATCTTAAATACTTCGTTTTTTTTTCTTGGCTTCTCTCATCAGTCTCTGGAACTCAGAGATGGAATGAGAAAATATTCAGAAATTAGAAAACATGGAAGCAAATATACAGTCTGAAAGGAGGTAGGAAGGTATGGAAAACAAGCGAGGGATCTCTACCGCCATAATCTATAGACAAATGCTTGCATGAGTAAGGAAAGTATACAGTTAGCTCCTCACAAGATTACCAGTATCATATCCTCCATATCTCGTCGCCAACCACAAAACAGAATCCGCTCTGTAGTCTTTGGAATAATTATGTTCTTTGGCAAGTTTCCTCCCTGAACCTGCAGCATTCAGGTGAAATGAAAAGGAATTAGGAGCTTTGATTCAAACTCACCACAATCATATCATCAATGTCTCGTCTCCATCCAGTAAGTAGGATCTTCTGTGGCTTTCTTGTTGGTCGGACAATGTGCATCAAAGATGCTTCTATGACCTGAATAACCAAATTAATTAAACCTTAAAAAGTCTATTCATGCCACGTTCTGCTTGCTTGAATTCCATGCTTGGAATACCCGCTCAATTGCAAAGCAGAAGAGGATTTCCTTCAAGTGATCCACTGAAACAATAAAGTTGTCGAGTTTTTCCTCTCAACTTTTAAGTAAGCTTTTTCATGATTATCATGAACCTAAATAAAAGCTTTTTCTTGTATTCTGAGGTTGGCATTACTAATTTTTTATCCAAGCTCAATTTTCTCAATTTTCCAATCTAATTTAAAGCGGTCCAAAGTCATAACCTAGATTTTGTTGTGTTGATTAGCATGATTCAAAGAGATTTGATTTAGGAGCGTTGATTAGCATGATTTCAGGAGATTTGATTATATTTAGGAGATCCGATTTTATTTGATTTGATTTGATTTGATAGCTGGATTGATTGTACAGATTTATTTCCTTAATTAGCGTTAGGAGCTTTGTATAAATTCTCTTGCTCATGGGATGTAAACACACAGAAATATAAGAAACATTTTCTTCTTCTCAAGATCTACATGGTATCAGAGCCATTCCTGCCTTTTTGAGGTGATTTATCTCCCTCGCATCACTAGGGTTCCGTTTTTATCAAAGAGCTCGAGATCTGGTCAGTTTTATTTTTGGGATTTTCTTTTCTATTAAGGTCGCTGGAACATTCCGAGCCTATCCCTACCAGTTTTGATTTTTCCGTTCACCGGAGCTAAGGTTCGCTCGAGACAGATTTGGTTTCCAGCGAGGCTAATCTAGCGGCTGCCTATCTTACCAACAGAATGCCACTTAAACCCCTCAATTTTCAAAGTCCTCTGGAAGCTTTAAAGGGTAAGAATGAATATATTGTTCCTCCAATGGTGTTTGGATGTGTTTGTTTTGTCCGTGTTAGATAGTTATGTATAAATAATCCTAGCTCCATATCTGGTAGGAGTAGAACATGTATTATATATAGGGCACATTGTATCATTGTTAATAAATCAATAGAATATTTTTCTCCCGTGCGTTCTCACATGGTATCAGAGTTGTGGTGGTGAGACACATTCGGGAACCAGAATACAGCAAAAAGTCACCGTGCCTCAATTTTCCAACGACTTTTCACGGTTGTCTTGCGTCATCTCTCTCCGTCAGTGTTGTGCAAAATCCAACACTACCACAAGATCTGTCATCGTCTGGCGACAAAACCCCAGTCGGCCTCTCCGGCAGCAGCAGCCACACGCACCGTCAGAAGCTAGGCTTCTAGAGTACGACCCTTTCCGACCATTTTTTGAAAAATTTCCTTCAGGATAATTGCTTCTTCTACTAATTCTGACTCTACCCATTCAAGTTTCATCACATTCTGACAACGTTTTTATTTTCCAGCGACTTTGCAGATTCCGGCGACTGTTCCAGTTTCCGGCAGCTACAGTGTATTGTTCTGCTGCTTCTTAACTGTTTCTGTGACCTAACACAATTTTGGACCAACTCTGCCACCAATTTTGTGATTTCATAATTATTTGATCCAATCATGTCTCTCGGAATTGATGCTTTTGGTTTCAAAAACAATGGAGTTGGAAATTCAGCCTTTATGATTACTTTTGAACCCCTACTTGGAAGTTCAAATTATTTATCTTGGGCTTCGTCTGTGGAGTTGTGGTGTAAAGGTCAAGGTGTTCAAGGTCACTTAACCAAAAAGGCTAGTGAGGGAGATGAAAAGGCCAAAGCACAATGGGAAAAGATCGATGCTCAGTTATGTAGTATCTTGTAGCGATCTATTAATTCCAAGTTGATGCCTTTGTTTCGTTCGTTCCAAGCATGTCATTTAGTTTGGGAAAAGGCTCGTACTTTATACACTAATTGACATATCTCGTTTCTATGATGTGATATCGCGGATAACAAATTTGAAGAAACGGGAATTGGATATGTCGACTTACTTGGAACAAGTACAGGCAGTCATGGAGTAATTTGAGAAGTTGATGCCAGTTTCTGCCAGTATTGATAAGCATTAAGAGCAACGACAAAAGATGTTTCTAGTTCTTACACTCGTTGGACTTCCTAATGACCTTGATTCAGTGCGTGACCAAATTTTGGCTAGTCTGTCTGTCCTTACAGTTGATGAACTATTCTCTCGATTACTTAGTCATGCTGCAGCGCCCAGTCACATAGTGATTTCATCACAGACAGCTGACTCCTTTGTTCTCGCATCCCAGACACTGAAAAATCGGGTATCTCATACTATGGAGAATAGACGAGGAAGAGGTCATTTTGGAAGGTCTCGACCCAAGTATTCTTATTGTAATAGACGTGGACACACCCGTGAAGTGTGTTACTCCTTGCATGGTCAACCACATAAAATGCTCATGTTGCTCAAACAAAGACTACAGGTAACCAGAGGTTTTCTTTATCCGAAGGGGAATATAATGAGTTCCTTCAGTATCGAGCAAGTAAGCAAATACCTCCACAAGTAGCCTCTATTGCTCAGACTGATACTTCTGTTGCTGGTAATTCCTTTGCTTGTGTTTCCCGGTCTACTACTCTTGGACCGTGGGTCATGGACTTAGGCGCCTCTGATCATATTTCTGGTAATAGAACACTTTTGTCAAATATTATTTATACAAAGTCTCTTCCCAGTGTTACTTTAGCCAATGGAGTCCAAACAAAAGCAAAAGGAGTTGGACAAGCTAATCCCTTATCCTCTGTCCTCTGTCTGTTAACTCGTGCCCTCCATTGTCGTATATACTTTATTGATGACTCTTTTGTTATGCAAGACCGCAGTACGAGACAGGCGATTGGCACAGGGCGTGAATCACAAGGCCTTTACTACCTTGACTCACTCAATCCTTCCACAGCATGTCCAGTTATAGATTCTCCAGACCTAATTCACAGACGTTTAGGACATCCAAGTTTATCCAAGCTTCAAAAGATGGTGCCTAGTTTATCTAGTTTGTCTACATTAGATTGTGAGTTGTGTCAATTAGGGAACATACCCGAGCCACTTTTTCGCGAAATGTGGAGTCATGCAGAGTCTGTTTTTTCTTTAGTTCATTATGATATATGGGTCCTAGTACAGTCAGTTCAAGCTTAGGATTTCGTTATTTTGTTAGTTTCATTGATGATTACTCAAGATGTACTTGGATTTTCCTAATGAAAGATCGTTCTGAGTTATTTTCTATATTCCAGAGTTTTTATGCTGAAATAAAAAATCAGTTTGGCGTTTCTATTCGTATCTTTCGTAGTGATAATACCTTAGAATATTTATCCTTTCAATTTCAGCAGTTTATGACTTCACAAGGAATTATTCATCAGACATCTTGTCCGTATACCCCTCAGTAGAATAAGGTAGCAGAGAGAGAATAGACACCTTATTGAGACTGCTCGCACACTTCTAATTGAGTCTCATGTTCCGCTGCATTTTTGGGGAGATGCAGTTCTCACGACTTGTTATCTGATTAATAGGATGCCTTCATCTTCCATCCATAGTCAGACTCTGTATTCGGCATTATTTCCTCAGTCACCCTTTTACTCTATTCCCCCTCGTGTGTTTGGGAGCACATGTTTCGTTCATAACTTAGCTCCCGAAAAAAAATAAGTTAGCTCTATGTGCTCTCAAATGTGTCTTCCTTGATTATTCTCGAGTTCAAAAAGGATATCGTTGCTACTTACCTGATCTTCGTAGGTACCGTATGTCAGCCGATGTCACATTTTTTGAGTCTCGACCTTACTTTACCTCTTCTGATCACCTTGATATATCAGAGGCCTTACCTATACAGACTCTTGAGAAGTTTATTATAACTCCTCCTACATCTTCCGCCACAGAAGTCTTACCCATACCGACCATTGAGGAATCTAGAATTGCTCCTCAAGGTCCCCAAACACAGGAACACCTCTTTTGACTTATCATTGGTGTCTGCGTCCAGCATCAGACCCAACTGATTCACGTCCTGCACCTGACCCTGCTCCTACCGCGGGCTTGTCTCCTCTTAGTCAACCAATTGTACTTCGAAAAGGTATACGGACCACACTTAATCCTAATCCCCATTACGTCGGTTTAAGTTATCATCGTTTGTCATCACCCCATTATGCGTTTGTATCTTCTTTGTCCTCTGTTTCCATCCCTAATTCTACAGGTGAAGCAATGTCTCATCCAGGATGGCGACAGGCTATGATTGACGAGATGTCTGCTTTACATACGAGTGGTACTTGGGAGTTTGTTCCTCTTCCTTCAGGTGAATCTACTATTGGTTGTCGTTGGGTTTATGCAATCAAAGTTGGTCCGGATGGCCCGGTTGATCGACTTAAGGCCTGTCATGTTGCTAAAGGATATACTCCGATATTTGGGCTAGATTACAGTAATACTTTCTCTCCCGTTGCTAAAATAGCATTAGTCCGCCTTTTTCTATCCACGGTTGTTGTTCGCCATGGGCCTCTCTATCAGTTAGACATTAAGAATGCTTTTCTTCACGGTGATCCGTGATCTTGAGGATGAAGTTTATATGGAGCAACCACCTGGTTTTGTTGCTCAGGGGGAGTCTAGTGGTCTTGTATGTCGCTTGCGCTGGTCACTTTATGGTCTAAAGCAGTCTCCTCGAGCCTGGTTTGGTAAGTTCAGCACAGTTATTCAGGAGTTTGGCATGACTCATAGTGAAGCTGATCACTCTGTGTTTTATCAACATTCTGCTTCAAATCTCTGTATTTATCTGGTGGTTTATGTTGACGATATTGTTATTACCGGCAATGATCAGGATGGTATTACTAAGTTGAAGCAACATCTCTTTCAACACTTTCAGACTATGGATTTGGGCAGATTAAAGTATTTTCTGGGTATAAAGGTTGCTCAATCTAGCTCCGGTATTGTGATCTCATAACGAAAGTATGCCTTAGACATTGTTGAGGAGACAGGAATGACAGGTTGTAGACCTGTTGACACTCCGATGGATCCGAATTCTAAATTAAATGATAGGTTATAGGCGGCTGGTTGGTAAATTAAACTACCTCACAGTGACTAGACCTGACATTTCCTTTCTTATGAGTGTTGTAAGTCAGTTTATGGATTCTCCCCGTGATAGTCATTGGGATGCGATCGTCCGCATTCTTCGGTATGTAAAGTCAGCTCCAGGCCAGGGGTTATTGTTTGAGGATCGAGGCCATGAGTAGACCGTTGGGTATTCAGATGTTGATTGGACAGGATCACCTTCTGATAGACGTAGAACGTCTGGATATTGTGTTTTGGTTGGAGATAATTTGGTGTCTTGGAAGAGCAAGAAACTGAATGTAGTTGCTCGGTCTAGTGCAGAAGAAGAATATAGAACAATGGCTATGGCAACATGTGAACTAGTTTGGATCGAACAGTTGCTCAAGGAGTGAAAATTTGGTGAAATCAGTCAGATGGAACTTGTGTGTGGTAATCAAGCTGCCCTTCATATTGCGTCAAATCTAGTGTTCCATGAGAGAACTAAACACATTGAGATTGATTGTCACTTCGTCAGAGAAAAGATACTCTCAGGAGACATTGTTACAAAGTTTGTGAAGTCAAATGATCAGCTTGCAGATATTTTCACCAAGTCTCTCACTGGTCCTCGTATTAGTTACATATGTAACAAGCTTTGTGTGTATGATTTGTATGCATCGGCTTGAGGGGGAGTGTTAGATAGTTATGTATAAATAATCCTAGTCTCATATGTAGTAGGAGTAGAACATATAATATATAGGGCTCATTGTATCATTGTTAATCAATAGAATTGCGTTCTCACAGTCCGCACTAGAAATTCTGGGAAACTTGATCCTAGAGTTATAAAGTGTCTTTCATTGGGTATTCTCCGACACATAAAGGTTACAAATATTATCATCCTCCCTCTAGGAGAGCTTTTGTTAGCATGGATATTACCTTTCGAGAATCTGAGCGTTATTTTAGTATTACATCATCACCTCTTTAGGGAGAGAGCAGTAAGGAGGAAGAGGTAATTCCACCTAGTTCCATTACTGGACTTCTTGATGACATTGTCACAGGGGAAAGTAAAATTGGAGAAAGAATTCAAAGGGAGACTATTGGGCATTTGGATAGGCATGATTTGAAAACTTACTCAAGGAGAAATAGAGCAGAAGAAGCCATCATACAATCTACCGAAACTGAACCTTCTTCTACAGGAGAGTTATCTACATTTCCTAATGAGTTAGATGTGCCTATTGCTCACAGAAAAGGAGTCAGATCTTGCACCATCAAACACCCTTTATCTAATTTTGTCTCCCTCCTATAAAGCCTTTGCCTAGTCTATTTCTTTTGTGTCTATTCCCCAGAATTGGAGGGAAGCTTTTGCAGATCCTAAATGGAAGCAAGCTATGATTGAAGAAATGAAGGACTTGTCAAAAAATGAGACTTGAGAACTTGTCACTTCACCACCAGACAAGAAATTGGTTGGCTGTAAATGGGTCTTCACTGTGGAGCACAAAGTTGATGGCTCAATTGAAAGATTCAAAGCAAGATTGGTTGCTAAGGGATTCACTCAGACTTATTAGTGGATTATGATGAGACATTTGCCCCTGTTGCTAAGATGAACACTATTAGAAATCTTTTGTCTTGTGCAGCTAATCTTGATTGGGACTTGCAACAGTTTGATGTGAAGAATGCATTTTTTCATGGAGACTTAGAAGAAGAGGTGTATATGGAGATTCCTCCTGGATTTGATACTGCACAGAGGCAAGGAAAAGTATGCAGATTGAAGAAAGCCTTGTACGGACTGAAGCAATCCCCCAGAGCTTGGTTTGATAGATTCAGCAAAGCAATAAACTCCTTCGGTTACCAACAAATCCCTCTTCATAAGATATCAAACAGATAAACTCACTCTATTCATAGTTTATGTCGATGACATAGTAATGACTGGAAATGACAAAGAGGAGATGGCCCGATTGAAGAAGTTGTTGGCACATGAATTTGAGATCAAGGATCTAGGAAAATTGCAGTACTTTTTGGGAATTGAGGTTGCTAGACCCAAAAGAGGAATCTTTATTTCTCAAAGGAAGTATATTCTGGATCTCTTGAAAGAAACTGGTATGATAGGTTGCAAACCAGCAGAATCGCCCATTGAAAGCAATCATAAGTTACAAAGCGGAGTTGGAGTTATCAGAGGTTGGTTAGAAGACTCATTTATCTCTCCCACACTAGACCAGACATAGCCTATTCAGTTAGCCTGCCTCATATGCAAGTTGTCTTTCACATTTTGCGGTATCTGAAGTCTGCTCCAAGGAAAGAGCTACTTTTTCTCCAAATAGAAGCCTTTACAGACGCGGATTGGGCTGGATCTCTAGATGACAGAAGATCAACATCCGGTTATTGTACGTTCATAGGAGGAAACTTGGTTACTTGGAGAAGCAAGAAGTAAAGTGTAGCTGCTATATCAAGTGCGGAGGCAGAATATAGAGCTATGGCCCAGGGTGTTTGCGAAATGCTTTGGTTACAAAAGCTACTACAGGAATTGAGACTGTCTGAAAAAGGAAAACTTTCCTTGTACTGTGACCTATGTTGCTCGGACTCTCCGAAAATGTCGTCGGGTGCGGCAGCATTTTAGAGAATCCGCGCGACATAGACTGTGACAACAAGGTTGCCATTAGTATAGCTCATAATCCCGTCCAGCATGACCAAACAAAGCATGTGGAAATTGATCACACTTCATCAAAGAAAAAGTTACAACTGGTGTCTTGAGTTTGTTTCATGTGCCATCGGAAAAACAGCTAGCTGATGTGTTTACCAAAGGTCTCAACAAGCGAACTTTCCATACTTTGAGTTGCAAGTTGGGCATGTGCGACATCTTTGCACCAACTTGAGGGGGAGTGTTGATTAGCATAATTCAAGGAGATTTGATTTAAGAGTGTTGATTAGCATGATTTTAGGAGATTTGATTATATTTAGGAGATCTAATTTTATTTTATTTTATTTTGTTTGATAGCTGGATTGATTGTATGGATTTATTTTCTTAATTAGCATTAGGAGTATTGTATAAATTCCCCTGCTCATGGGATGTAAACGCACACAGAAATATAAGAAGCCTTTTCTTCTTCTCAAAATCTACATGTTGACTATAATAAACATAGAATGCAATTCATCTCATCTAAATAGAAGTCAAGCAAAAGGTTCTCGACAGTCAACATATATCTAAATCTGAAGTTGCACCAAAAGACCACCCTTTTTATTGATGAATACGCTATTCATTCACTTTTTCATCATCATTATAATTTGCAATTTGGGTTGACTACGTTTTCAAGCAGAGAAACAAGTGAAGATAGTTATATTAAGAACAGGGTAAGCACCATAGGCAGTGGTGCTGGAGCATATGAGTCATCATCCTCAGCAATAACAAGGACCTCATCTCCTTCTTGCAACAGATAGGAATCATCGGGATTCAGTATTATTTTTCCACCTGATGATGCCACCTTGATGCCACAAGGAATAGCATCAGGAAAACTGATTAGGACTTCTTCAAATTGCATGCCATGAAACTGTGGCCATTTCTTGATGTAGAACTCGCAATTCTCAAATCCAAGGATGTCTTCCCATATCTGCCATTGCCAAGTCCATAGAGAAAAAAATTTGATTCATTGACACAGATAGTATTTCCTCTCCTACTCAATTTAGTAGCTAGGATTAAATTACACATTAGTCACAAAGCAAAGTTGATCATAGCTAAGAAGCTGACCTGTGCAAGGCCTGGCTGTCGAGCACATTGGATCATTAATCGCCCAATTACGTCATGAGCCACCACAGTTTCAACAAGATCTCCACCAACAAGTTTCACAAGAACCTCATTATCAAGATCACTGAGTTCAACCACTATGTGCCCCCGAAGACCTTCCTTTACTCCTGTGAGGCTTAAAACTGTCCTCAGAGCACGGGCATCACTCTACATTATAAAAATTTTATTATTAGCTACTACAATTTTCAATCCTGAAAATGAGTTACTAAAAATAGTTATTGCTCTGACCTGGTCAGCATTCCCATCTTCAGCAAGGACAACTACTGCACGAGCCTTAGAGACCGACACCTACTAAAGATTTATCTAGTGAGTTCAAAAAATTATTTTAACTTACAAATTCTGGAAAACTACAGGAGCATTTTCTAAACAATCAAACCATGAGAAAAGAAGTAGGCTTTTGATGAGAAGCTGTTTAAACTCAGAAGAGTGAAACACTAGCAAAATTTCAGGATAAAGCATTGAGAATCAGATCTCTGAAATAAAAATTACATTCTATACCAATGTAAAACAGGGAACGAAAGGTCTTTTAAGACATAATTTATGTTTGGAAACAAAACTTAATGCATACCTTTTTCAGGTCAGCCAGAATCAAGGGGCTTCCACTTCTACATATGACAGAAGTTCCTCTAAAATCAAACTCCATTTTAGCAATATCAAGTTCCATCTCTTCTTTGTCTCGCTCAGCCATGACTACAACTGTTCCACCCCCCAAACTCTCATTAGCTATTGCGAGTTGATTCAGTAATGATCCCTGGGTATACAGATGTACTCTTAGTGAACAAGGCCGGTACTTCTCTGAGGCACTTTATATTGTCCAAAATATACAGAGCAATTAAGAAATCTCCAGCAAATATCAGTAATACTCAGCTGCACTATGTAAATAAGTTTTTTGCAAGGCCAACTAATCAAAGTTAGATGATAGTTTTCAATTGTGTTCCAATTCCTTACATAATAATGACGACTGTTTTCCTGGTAATCTCGTTATTGTCATGGAGCATGGTCAATAATAGGGAAAGGACAATCAATAAAATTAATGTGGTTGTCTCCAATTGAAAGAAAAACAAGATTGACCAGGACAATAATTGGAGCAATAAAATTAATGTGGTTCTTCTGATTCTACTAAATTCACTAGAAAATTAATATAGAAAGAAAAGGAAAATTCAAACCTTTGGAGCTTCATCTCATTTTCTTGGAGTAATGATAGGGGATATCTTAAGCAATTTAGAGAGGGCTTCTGAACAATGCAAAATAAGTAAACCCCTACTAGGTAGATTGTGATGCAGATCAGGTGCTAAAAACAGTTTGAGGGCAGTTATCTAGGGAAAGGAAAAACATATGAGCTTGTCAAAAAACAGACTAGTAAATTAACAAAACCCACCAGCTTATCACTCCAACCAAGTATAAGTGTGTGATTCTGCTCAACTACTTCACTTCTTCCCTTCCTGAGCGAGTCAAATTTCTCTGAGATTGCATCAGAAACTAGTCCAAGCATCATGGCAAATATCAGCATTCCACCGAAACTAACAGAAACTGACACTAGTCGTGGACCAATGCCCTCAGAATTAGCATGATTTCCTGAATTTGCAACATATGTCCATGATAACCAAAGGCAGTCTGCTATGCTATCATCTGTCACGCCAAAAAGTGCTAAGCCACCAAGAGAAATCAGGAGCAAAGTGGCAATTAACAAGGTTAGTGGTTTAGCATAAGGATGAAACGATAAGAATACATCCACCCGGTAAGCTAGCCGCTTGTTCAGAGATAATTCCTCAGTGGTATTGTCCAACAGTCTTCTAACATTAGAGACATACTCCATATATTTAATAAAAACAAGAGGAAGGGACAACATCATGAGTGAGAGAATCAATGCCGTATTTTTCAAACTTGCACTGGAAATATTATGTTCTGGCGTTGAGTCAATAATGTCAATAGAATCTGAAATGTTGCAGTGTCTCAATCTGGCATTGAGCGTTGAAAACTCATCCTGAATAACAGGAAGGAAAAGAGAAACAGGTAGACAGTTAGGGGACTGATCCAGTAATATATTCCATGTACGTCAGCCAAATTATACTTCTCAAATGCCCAGATTTATAGCATCAATATAATTGCACATGCGAAAAGTTACGAGAAAGTAAATTAAGCAACTTAAGTCAATTAATAACTGAAAAGGGTGAATGCTATATATTCGTACAGTTTCTTTTCATGGATACTACTTGAGTTGGCCTTCGAGGATGATCTGGAAAATAAGAGCTCCACCTAAAGTAGCTATTTCAAGAGTCTTGTTTGACACAAAGTAACTCACAATGAAGAGGCTACAGTGCGTGCAGCAGATGTAGCAAATGCAAGGAAGCAACTGAATAAGACAGTCATTTTTTTTACTTCACTGCCTAGTTATTTGGCCGATATGGAATTCCTAAACTTATATGGACTCCAACCAGTAATGCCTGTAAATTTGAGACAAATACTAAGCTGCTGGAAAGGGCAGAAGATAGAGAAAAGGCGCAAAGAAGCATGGAAAACAATCCAATGGTGTATACTGTGGACATTTGAGTAAAAAGAACTAGCAGGATATTTTAGGGGAAAAAAAGATTGTATCTCTTATGTAAAGTTGAAATGCAGTTAAAATTTGCATATCTAGAGTAAAAGGAATATATAGCAAATGACATTGAAGATATCTTGGAATTTAATGGAGTCCTTGCATAGGAGGAGGGCACCAGGAACTTTTGAACATATTTAGTCCCTTCTTAGCACTATTTGTCTAATAAATTTACCATTTATTTATTATCAAAAAATTGAATGCCAACTTAGATTCAAGTAGAATCATATCTAGTCTAGAGAATGGAAAATGGAAAATTGCATGATTAGAGCTGAACTTTTGAACATGTTCAATTCCTTTTTTTTTTTTAAATGGTAACAGATTTCATTAAAAATTGAACTTAGCACAAAGATAGTGCTAATGGAAACATACCCTAGTTACAAGACTTCCAGAAAGACAAAAACAAGGCAAGACTTGTGTCAGTTACAAGGACCCAATGAGATCAACTAGGACTCTACATCTTGTACTAAAGCTTCTTTACACCAAAAGTGAAACAAAAATATGCAGTTCATTTTGATCTTCTGTTCAGAGTTGGCTAAATCTTCAAAACATCTGGAGTTCCTTTCCAACCAAACTGTCCACCAAATACATGCAGGAATGATGCTCCACCACTTCTTCTGACTTGTTCCAGCTGCTAAGTTGTCCCAAACAAACAAAAGCTCCATGGTATCTCTTGGCATTGCCCAACTTAGACCTTTCATACTCATGAACAACTGCCATAATCTACTGGTGACCTGACAATGAAGGAAGAGATGAATGTTTGTTTCATTGGCCTTACCACATAGGAAACATTTGGAACACAGGAGCATTCCACTCTTCATTAAACTCTCGTGAGTCAAGACGGCCTGTTTGACCACTAGCCAACAAAATACTGCAACTTTAAAAGGAACCTTCAATCTCCAGATTTGCTTCCATAACCAAGGCCCTTGCTGCTGGACTGATCTGTTTAGGCCCTCATATGCAGATTTAACAGTGAAAGCTCCTCTGCAATTGCTATCCCATGTCAGTCTATCCACTTGCTCAACTGGTCCCTTGAAAGTTTCCAGGACCTTAAGGAACTCAATCACTCTGGTTACCTCCCAATCATTGAGAAATCTTCTGAAACTGAAATTCCAACCCTGCTGGCTCCAGGTTTCAGCAATAGTAGCATCAGGTTGATGTGCTAAGCAGTACAAATCAGGGAAATTTTCTTTAAATGGACAATTTCCTATCCAAAATTCTTCCAGAAGGAAGTTTTTGCTCCATTCCCCACCTTTATGCTGGTGTTGCTCATAAAAGTTGGCCATAGAGCTCTAATAGATCTCCACACACTCACTCCATAGGGACTGGCCACTGCACCTGAGCTCCACTGACCTTCAATCCCATATTTTGTGCATATCACCTTCCTCCATGTTCCTCTAGTGAAAATCTCCAAAGCCATTCCATGAGTAGGCTTTTATTGTGTTGCCTCAAATTTCTGATTCCCAAACCACCTTCTCTTCTGCTAGTTGTAAGGGTTTTCCATTTAACTAAATGATAACCCCGTTTCTCTCTATTGCCTTGCCATATGAAATTCCTCCTCAGAGCATCAATCTTCTTCTCAATGCTTGCTGGTAATGGGAACAGTGACATCATGTAGGTGGGAAGAGAGTCTAACACACTGTTGACCAGTACAACCCTCCCTCCCATAGACAGATAATTATTCTTCCATCTAGAAAACTTCTTTTCACACCTTTCAAGGACACCGTTCCATATCTGTCGAGACTTGCTCTTGCACCCGGTGGTAACCCCAAATAAGTGGTAGGCAAGGATAGGGCTGTGCATAATTTGGTAAATACCGAATTACCGTACCGAAACCGAAAATTTTGGTATATGGTATTCGATATTTTGGTATTCGGTATGGTATTTGGTTTAAGTTTTAAAAAAAAAATTGGTATTAGGTATGGTATTTGGTATTTTAAAATGAAATACCGATACCGTACCGAAATATTTATTATATTACACAATACACATTTTATTAATTATAACATAAATATAAGAAATCTAAAATTTTACTTTCCTTTATTCTCTAAGTTCATCAATCAACTCTAAGCAAGTAACAAGATATTTCTTTAAGGTTTCTCTCTCTAGGTTGGTATTTGCTGGTTTTGGACAAAACTTTTGTCAACAAACATTTTTAGTTTTGTACTTTTGAGTACTTTAATTAAGAATATTATCGTCTATGACTCTATGCACTAGTTAGTATTCAAACCGAATAAACCGAAGTTATCGAACCGAATAAACCGAAACCGAAAGGAGAAAAACCGAACCATACCGAATTTAATTAGGTACGGTATTGGTATAGCATTTAACGAAACCGAATACCGAAAATACCGAACCGAAATGTCTAAATACCGTACCGTACCGACCGACGAACACCCCTAGGCAAGGATCCTACCTCAAATCCCAAGGAGCCAGCTAATCTTTGAGTATCTGTGACATCATTAACAGTGTAGACCAGGAATTTCCTCCGGTTCACATGAAGGCCAGAGACGGCCTCAAAAACAGTCAAAATCAACCTCAGATGTGTCACTTGCTCCACTTTAGCATCACAAAAAATTAATGAATCGTCAGCATACAATGGATTGATTTCCATGCTGCTACTAGCATTGTTGGGCACCTTGAACCCCCTTATCCACCCCTCCATATTAGCCTTCTTGATCATGCAATTCAGACCTTCTATAGCAATAATAAAAAGGAAGGGTGAGAGAGGATCACCCTGCCTTAACCCCTCTGAGATGGGAAAAATCCTTCGGGAGATCCATTGATAAGGATGGAGAATCTGACATTTGTAATACAAAATTGGATCCACTTGATTCCGAAGCCCAAATCTTTGAGCAGCTTCAGAAGAAAACTCCAATTGATGTGATCAAAAGCCTTTTCAATGTCTAGTTTGCACAATATGCCAGGGATCTTCTCTTTGATTGTGGAGTCCACACATTCATTAGCTATTAGAGATGCATCCATAATTTGTCTGCCTTTAATAAAAGCCATTTGTTGCTCATCCACCAGCTTATAAATCACCTTCTTCAATCTCTCTGTCAGGACCTTAGAGATAATCTTATAAAGACTCCCTATTAAGCTTATTGGCATGTAATCCTTCAAGTCTCCTGCCCCCACTAACTTGGGGATAAAGCTAAATAAGTAGCATTGAAGCTCTTTTCAAAATATTCTTGAGAGTGAAAATTATGAAAAATGTTCAAGAGATCCACCTTGATCACCTCCCAACAATGGAGGAAGAAACCCATAGTGTATCCATCTGGACCAGGGGCCTTATCTGCTGCACATGCTCTAAGGCCCTCCAAAATTTCCTGTTCGTCGAACTCTCTTTGTAACCACTGCACCTCAGATTCATTGATCTTAGAGGCATGTGGATAGTTGAAATCTGGCCTCCATTCCTCTGGCTCTTTGTATAGCTGCTGATAAAAGGATAGGATCTCGGCCTTGATTGTATTCAAATCCTCCATCTGTGTACCATTGATGTTGAGTCTGTCAACGGTGTTAAACCTCATGTTTGCATTGGCCACCCTACGGAAGAATTTGGTGTTTCTGTCCCCTTGTTTCAGCCACTGTACCCTGGATTTCTGTCTCCATGAAATCTCTTCATTTTTTGCAATCTCTTCCAGATCCATGGCCAAACTTGCCTTTTGTATAAGTTCATCTTCTGTGAGGTCCCTAATCTCCCGTGCAGCATCAAGATCAAGTAGTTTATTTAGACAATCTGTTTTCCTGGCTTCCAAATTCCCACCTTATGATGATCCCCATTCTTTGTGTTTGCCTTTTAAGAGTTCTAATTTCTGTGCCAAGATAAAATCGGGTCTGCCCTGAATGGTAAAAGAGGACCACCATTGAGCCACCTTGTCTCTAAACCCTTCAACACCCGGCCACCAGTTTTCAAATTTAAAATGTGACTTAGCATTCTCCCAATCTCCACAACCAAGAACAATAGGGGTGTGATCACATGAGACTTTAGAAAGTACTGATTGTCTCATGCTTCTGAAGCTTTCATCCCATTCTAAAGCGAACAAAATTCTATCAATTCTAGATGCTAAATGAGAGTTGTTGCCCTTTGTCCAACTATAAATCCCTCCAAGTAGTGGAGGATCAATAAGTTCCATATCTTCAATAAAGCTAGTAAAATCAATCATGGCTCGATGGAATTGCCATTTCTCCTTTCATCCATGAATATTGTTATGTTGAAATCGCCACAAACAACCCAAGGGCCTGCATAGAGTCCCATGGAAGCAGCAACTTCCCACCAAACATTCCTTCTTTCCAATATTTTATGCGACCCATATACTCCAGTCAAGTGCCACGAGAAGTTATTCATTTGTGACTCAAATGTGCAAGTGATAGTGTAACTCCCAATATTAATCACCTCTCCTTTCCAAACCCTATTGTCCCATAATACAACGATGCCACCCCTACTTCCACTGGCTTCTAAACACCAAACTTGACCCACATATTCACCCAATTTTGTTTCACATACCACTTAATATCCCCCACCAATTTGGTTTCCTGTAAATGTAACGACCCGGCCAGTCGTTTTGAGAGTTGTAGCTCCGTTCCCCCATTTACTGCTCATTGTGAACTTATAGCTATTATGTTTGGGTCCGGAGGGATTTCGGAATGAAATGAAACACTTAGACTCAAGGTTGAAGCTTTAAGTTGAAATGGTTGACCGGATGTTGACTTATGTGTAAACAACTCCGGAATAGAGTTTTGATGGTTCCGATAGCTCCGTTGGGTGATTTTGGGCTGGGTAGCGTATCCGAATTGTGATTTGGAGGTCTGTAGTGGAATTAGGTTTGAAATGGCGAAAATTGAATTTTTGGAAAGTTTGACCAAAAGTGGACTTTGTGGATACCGGGCTCGGATTGAAGTTCCAAGGGTTGGAGTAGGTCCGTGGGGTCATTTATGACTTGTGTGCAAAATTTGGGGGCAATCGGAAGTGATTTGATAGGTTTCGGCGTCGTTTGTAGAAGTTGAAATTCCTTAGCTTCAATAGGCTTGAATTGGGGTACGATTCGTGTTTTTGATGTTGTTTAAGGTGATTTGAGGGCTTGACTAAGTTCGTATCGTATTTTAAGACTTGTTGGTATGTTTGGTTGAGGTCCAGGGGGCCTCGGGTCGATTTCGGATGGTTTTCGGATCAAAGTTTGACTTTGAAAGACAGCTGAAGCTGGGACTCTGCTGGTGTAACCGCACATGCGGAGCTTTAATCGCAGGTGCGAGCTGTGTTGCGCAGATGCGACTTTTGGAGGAGTGTGCAGTGGTCGCAGGTGCATGGGAATTACCGCATCGATGTGACCGCAGATTTGGCAGTGGGATCGCAGAAGCGGAAATCGAAATGGGAGTTGGTCCGCAGAAGCGGCTTGGTGGCTCGCAGAAGCGAGTCCGCAGGAGCGAAGTAAGGGTCTACAGGAGCAGAGGAAGCGGCAGAAGCGGGTATGTGGTCGCTTCTACGATGCCACAGAAGCGAGAGTGCTGGGCAGATTATTTAAAAACGAGGGTTNGGAGGAAGCCGCAGAAGCGGGAGTGTGGTCACTTCTGCGACACCGCAGAAGCGGGTAAGTGGCCGTAGAAGCGAGAATGCTGGGCATATTATTTAAAAACGAGGGTTCGCGATTTTGCTTCATTTTAAACATTTCAAGCTCGGGTTTGGGCGATTCTTGAGAGGATTTTCGAGGGATTTCTTGAGGTAAGTCCCTTGTGCTCATTTTTTATCAATAATCTTGTTTCCCCATTGAATTTCGCACCTAGTTTGTGTGTATTTAAGGTGGAATTTAGGGCTACGAATTTGGAGAGTTTGATTTGGGGATTTGCGTGACGATTTGGAGTCGGATTTTGGTAATTTTGGTATGGTTAGACTCGTGGATGAATGGGCTTTCGAGTTTTGTAACTTTTATCAAATTTCGAGACGTGGGCCGGGGGCCGTCTTTTGAGCCGATTTTTGACTTTTGATTAATAACTTAGTATTTTTCTTCTGGAATTGATTCCTTTAGCCCGTGTTGATTATATCGAATTGTTTATGGCTAGATTCGAGGCATTCGGAGGCCGTTTCGCGAGGCAAAGGTGTGTTGGAGTAGAGATTTGCTCGGATTAAGGTAAGTAACAGTTCTAAATTTGGTTCCGAGGGTATGAAACCCCGTATTATGTGTCATGTGTTTGGTTTTAAGGTGACGCACATGCTAGGTGACGGGCGTGTGGGCGTGCACCGTAGAAATTGTGACTGGGTCAATTCCATGGAACTGTGTAGTTAAATAATCTGTTGTTATCCGTACCTTCTCCACGTATTAGAGAAATTGAACTGCAAATCATGTTAGAAATCATGTTTAGACCATGTGTTGACACTATAAGGACCCACAGAGGTCGTGTACATGTTGAATTATCTGCTAAATTGTTGTTTTGTACTCACTCACAGCTTTACTTGCATATTACATCTCAGTCTCTATTGTTAATTATTGATGCATTATATCATTGCTGTTTGGGCTGATTATCATGATTTCTGAGAACCCGAGAGACTGGAGAGGTTGATGACTGAGTGAGGCCGAGGGCCTGATTGTGAGGATATTTATGGGATCGAGTTGCACGCCGCAGCATGTTTCATTGATTTATGCCATGATTGGCTTGTTATAGCGTTTGGGCTGAAGGAGCCCCTCCAGAGTCTGTACACACCCCTAGTGAGCGCAGGTACCTACTGAGTGCGAGTGCCGAGCGATTGAGAGGAATGAGTGACTGTGAGAAATGAGTGATTGTGAGGTTGGAGTGAATATGCATTTGACTTTCATTTTTGTTGCACTTCAGTTGTCATATATCACCGTCTTGCAAATTTCTGAAAGATATTATACTCTATTTCACTTGAACTTGACATGGATTAATTGTTATGGCCTAAATTATCGAACTTGAAAGCATGCCTACTTTCCTATGTTGAAATTACTGTAATTGAACTATAACTGTGAAGTTCGTCACTACTTTCAGTCCTTTATTTAGTCTTGTTACTTACTGAGTTGGTTTTACTCATGCTACACCCTGCACTTCGTGTGCAGATCCAAGAGTTTCTGGACACAGTGGGTGTTGATTCCTTCGTGCAGTTGATCTTTTGGGAGGGTTCAAGGTGACTGCCCGGAGCTTCGCAGACCTTGTCTCTCCTTCCCTATCTTTTCGTTTTATGTATTTAGTTTCAAGACTATTATAGACAGTACTCTCAGATTTGTGATGTTTAGACGCTCATATTTATGGGATTGAGCTGCACGCGCAGCATGTTTCATTGATTTATGCCATGATTGGCTTGTGCTTGGGCTGAAGGAGCCCCTCCAGAGTCTGTACACACCCCTAGTGAGCGCAGGTACCTACTGAGTGCGAGTGCCGAGTGCTGAGCGATTGAGAGGAATGAGTGATTGTGAGGAATGAGTGATTGTGAGGTTGGAGTGAATGGGAGGACTGAGCGATTGTTGCTCTGAGAGGATGCATTTGACTTTCATTTCTGTTGCACTTCAGCTGTCATATATCACCGTCTTGCAAATTTCTGAAAGATATTATACTCTGTTTCACTTGAACTTGACATGGATTAACTGTTATGGCCTAAATTGTCGAACTTGAAAGCATGCCTACTTTCCTATGTTGAAATTACTGTAATTGAACTATAACTGTGAAGCTCGTCACTACTTTCAGTCCTTTATTTAGTCTTGTTACTTATTGAGTTGGTTGTACTCACGCTACACCCTGCACTTCGTGTGCAGATCCAGGTGTTTCCGGACACGGTGGGTGTTAATTCCTTCGTGCAATTGATCTTTTGGGAGGGTTCAAGGTAGCTGCCCGGCACTTCGCAGACCTTGTCTCTCCTTCCCTATCTTACCGTTTTATGTATTTAGTTTCAGACTATTATAGACAGTACTCCTAGATTTGTGATGTTTAGACGCTCATGTACTCAGTGACATCCCGATGATGGGAATTTCTGTATTGGTTTTGACTTTCTATCCATTTTTAGAGTTTTGTTGATTAAAACATGTGTTATTCTTATTTTCTATTTAAAAAATGTGGAAGTATTTTGAAGTGCCGGCTTGCCTAGTACCACGTTAGGCGCCATCACAATAGGCTGAGTTTGGGGTCGTGACAAGTTGGTATCAGAGCCTAGGTTACATAGGTCTCACGAGTCATGAGCAGGTTTAGTAGAGTCTTGCGGATCGGTACGGAGACGTCAGTACTTATCTTCAAGAGGCTGCTGAACCCTTAGGAAACTTCACATTCTTGTATTCTTGTCGTGCGGATTTGTGGATTCCGGTAACTAAACTTCTGTATTCTATTCTCTCACAGATGGTGAGGACAGGTGCTACCGGTCAGGACGACCAGCCACCAGTACCACCAGCTAGGGCCACGAGAGGCCGAGGTCGCGGTAGGGGCAGAGGTGCAGCTCTTACAGCAGCTAGAGCAGCACCTGCAAATCCACCAGTTGCTCCAGCTCAGGAGCAGGTACCAGATACGGTTGAGCCAGTGGGGCCAGCTCAGGCACCAGTTGTGCCCATTGTGATTCCAGGCTTTCAGGAGGGCCTTGGCTCAGATTTTGACGATGTGCACCAGCCCAGCTCAGGCGGTCTCTGTTCCGGCCGCAGCAGTCACATCTCAGGCCGGG